TAGACATTAAGGACCATCTCTACAGAGAGCATTACTCAAGATTTAATTATTTAGTAGTAGCCATATTATAGCCTGATATAATCTGGTAGATGATTTGGCCTTAACTGAAAAATCATGTTATTGGATTTTTATAATTGATTTATAAAATGACTGTTTTATAAATCAATTTCAGGAAATTTTGTTATTATATATTTAATATAAACAACATGCTCATTTTTATCTAAATATGTAACAACATATTTACTTTGTACTTTATATACAAAGTAATATATACTGTACTTTATACACAAAGTACATATTATACATATTACTTTGTATATGTAATTTGTCTGTTGTTATATACAAGAATGTCAAATTCTTAACATTCTTATATATAACAACAGACAAATTTCTAGCTGCAATTCTAACATATTGTCACTTTAATCATTCAAAAATATTAAAAAAGATTAGTGACACTAGTTTAATTATTTTTGTTCCTTTAACAAGTGCTTCCGTAAAAATAAATAAATAAGCAAAACTTTAAAATCATTTTTATTATTGGATATGAAACTGGATTTAAAAAACCTATAAAAACAATTCTTTAAAAATAAGTCTATCAAGATGACATGCTACAACTTTATGAAAACATAAACAAACAATCACCTTAAATAATTTAGCTATAACTCTGTTAATTTAAAGCTAGCAAAGTTATAGCCCATTACTTACGGCAATCGTTTGGTTATTTTTCTATACACTTATTGAGCTTCACAATGTTTGATATACTACTTTATGACAGTAAAAAGTGGGTCAACCAAGAAAAATTTCAAGTTAAAAATGCAATGCAAAAATCGTACTCCTAGAAATTTAAATCTTACCTCAACAATACTTGTCTTGTCAGATCATCTTTATTTTGTTGATGTCATAGACATGTTTCATGAACTTTCTTCCTCTCTTAAGTGTGGCATATTGTTTCTTTGTTATTTATCAATACAACATCTCTGTAGCAAGTTCAAGTAAAATGTGGTAAATTCTTTTATTCTTTCTTCTAGATCAACGATGCGCAACCCCCAGCCTGTGGGCTAGCTATGGCCTGCAAAAAATTTCTATCTGGACCACAAGATTTTCAGAAGAAATTATAAATAAATATTTTTTGATATAATTCATCTGTTTAAATTGAATATTAAACACACATAGCCACATGTATACTCATAATTTAGTACTGATGTTAAAACTAACATCCATTAAAGCATCTTTCCCTTCAAATGTCCTCACTCATAACTATTTTTCTTGCACAGTATATTCTATTTCTATCTATGTGTATGATCAAAGCCGAATATCTAATGTTGTAATTTGTGGTAACTGATTTAGTTGTCTCTGGGATTAAAAAAAAATTTTGTTTGAAATTGAAATTAATTTACTTAAAGGTAATAACAAAAATTTATTTAATAATTTTAATAACAATATTTATAAATATTTATTCAGTTTTTAGAGCAAAATGGTATCAAACAACAGTATAAAAAGAAAAATTGATACCAAAAACAGATCTTTTCAAGACAAATGAACGGAGCAATATTTTTTACGGAACACAATGGAAAATCTTTATGTTTAATTTGCAATGAAACTATCACTGTAAAAAAAGAATTTAATATAAAAAGTCATTACCAAATGAAAATGCAAGCTATGACAGATATCAAGGTACTAAAAGAGTAAATAAAGTTGAGAACTTAGAAGATTCTTTGAAATGTCAACAAAATATCATTGTGAGTGTTTACAAAGAAAATAAAAATACAGTAGAGCGTCGATTATCCGAAAGTCAATCAGCTTCTGAGTACAAATTCACTGAGTACGGCGTTAATAAACGCCGTACTCAGTGAATTCCGTATTATAATTATACGGAAGAGAATGTGCCCGTCGAAGTACACAGCACACTACAAAGGGGACCCAAATATATCTCCCCTCCTAATAATACCGAGCTTAATCGGTTAGTCCCAGCGGCGTTAGCAGCGTTGAAATCCTGCCAAGTAGCAGCCAGGTACCCACAAATGGAGTTAGAAATCGTCACGAAGCTTGCAGCGGCGAAACAAGTGTCCGGCGCGCCTAAGCGCCACATGAACCACAGGGCAGTAAAGCAATTCCTAGCTACGAACAACTTGAGGCTTCTGATATCTGATAAGGACAAACGATTTGTTTTGTGCAAGGAGGACGATTTCATCTTTAGAGCCAATGAGTTCCTATCGCAATCACAGTCACAGAGGATAAATGATGACCCAACACCAACAGTACTGCGAAGGACAAAGAAAATAATAGCTTCGCCAGGAGTGGCTTCGACTCTAACTGGGTGCCTTGATCCTCCCACCAACGTAGCGTGCCCTAGGCTATTTTTTCAACCGAAAACACACAAAGCAAACTGGCCGTTACGCCCACTAGTAAACAAGAGATCACATCCTACTTATTTCCTTGAAAAGGCGCTCGCAAAGTTCTTGCGTGAACTTCTTCCGGAATCGCCATATGTTACCCAGTCGTCTATAGCTGCCAAGTCCACCATTGCTTCCAATGTGAGAGGTACACATGAAGACTGCTACAATTTCTACAAATTGGATGTGGTGTCCTTATATCCTTCTGTGCCAGTTTTCGAAGCCGTCATGCTTGCTAATGCCTTGATCATCAAAAAGGGTTTTAGTGTACAGCAAGTACTAGAAATACGTGATGCGCTGTCTTTCATCACTGAGCACAACTATTTCCTCTTCAACAAGAACATCTACTTGCAGAAACAAGGAGTTCCTATGGGCTCCCCGCTATCTGCAGTCTTGGCCGAGCTCATTATGAGAGAAATCGAGCGTAGAATTTTCAACTCTCCCCTTACCATCAAGTATCCGGCTCTATACTTACGTTATGTTGATGATATCCTAATAGTATGGGAGGATACAGAGGAGGAATTTATCAAGTTTGTGCAGCAACTGTCAAGCATATACCCTACTATCAGTTTCACCTGGGAGAGGGAGAATGAGGATGCAATAGCGTTCCTGGACCTATTTATAAAAAAGTCGGTTGAGGGGCCGCAATTTTCTGTTCATCACAAGTCCGACCTGTTACCGCATATTATCCCGGCAGATGCTTTTCAACCGTCGCGGTACGTTAATGCCGCCATCGCTGCACTTATTAGAAGGGCATTACTACTTCCGTCGACGCAACTAGCAACAAAAATCGAATTAGACATCATCAGAACAGCGGTATCTCTTGCAGGGTTTACGTATGGTAAATATGAACATGTGCTCCGTAAAGTAAAAGAGGCCCTATACCCATGTACCACGTTGTACAGAAAAGAAAAAGCATCCATAATCCAGTCTCCATTGCCGTATCTTGGACCAACTTCTATACGCATCAGCCGCATATTTCGGCGGTATAATTTCATACTACCCATAACCCCCCTACCAAACTTACGCAGATGTATCTGCAACGATCGGGACAGGCTAACCACTTTAGAAAAGTCAGGGGTTTATACGATACACCTAGAAAATCCGGCAACGGG